GTTACTGGTATATTACAGGTCAATATTAATATCGTTACTGGTATATTACAGGTCAATATTAATAGTGCTGCATGACATCTGCCATATCGCATTAATTTGAAAAAAAACAAAAACAGAGTAACAAAAGTAAGTTTAAAACTTTTAGCGTTGAGACCCCACAAACTCCATTTACCCGCGTCTGATTAATTCGATTTTAGCGTTGAGACCCCACAAACTCCATTTACCCGCGTCTGATTAATTCGATTTTAGCGTTGAGACCCCACAAACTCCATTTACCGCGTCTGATTAATTCGATTTTAGCGTTTCTCTCGAGTCTAAATATGCTTTCAAACTGCTTCTTAGTTTCAAAAGCCAATGTGTTCAGTGGAGATTTGAGAATTTAAAAGCAATGGATTAATTTAGTTTTAAATCTCAAATTACATCTAAGGGGGGGGGGGTAAAAAACGAAAACTATAGCGATATAACTACAAAAACGAGGAAGAACAAACAACTCAGTTGATGACGTTACCAAAGAGTAATTTCTCGTGATCTCGTAGGAATTCTTGATAATGTCAAAGGTGATTTTCACGGTAAACATTTCTCACAGTCAGGTCTCAAAACCGGCGAACAGCTTTATTCTAAAGCTAATACAATAAGCTGAACGAGTAACTGCATTCTGCTTTTGTAACAAATCACATTAGTAAACAAACAAAACAAAAAAAAACACACACAAATACCACAAAGCTTTAGTGCTTTTGATAGGTGGATCTGTCGTCATCAAGGGATTAACAGCTAGTATATTTCGTTTTTAATTTTGATCCCTCGTGTTATTTATTGCCATGAACTGCGTTTCTAAAAGTTGATCTAATAAATAAAGGGACAGGGCCTGGCCTAGTGTGGCCTGGACTGTGATTTCAAGGATTCATGGCTCCATTGCCTCAAGAACGTTTTCCGCACCTTGGGGCAGTGGGCGCGCTAAAAGAGTTACCGTCAAATCCCATATTCTTTCATACAAGAATAACCCAAAAGGTGGCGGTGGGTGCTATTGGTTAGTTGCTTTGCTATTAGTTTATCAGAGCAAAATTAGGAGCTGCTATTCGCAGAAACCCTGTGTAGCTTTTTCTCAAAAAAAAAAAAAGGAGATACTGACTTACTGAGAATAAATTATAACATCGAGAATGGATATTTTGTGTGGTTTAATTTGTAATTACCTCTATTTTTAGTATATAAGCCCGGCAAATAAAGCGGAGATAACAATGGCAGACAGGAAGTGGCCGCAAGTAAAGTGCGTGAATCGCTGTGAATTATAGCGTGTGTTTATAAGAGTCGTTATTGAGAAAGAATAAATTAGTTTTAATAAAGAAAGGACTTGTATCGCTGAAGTTTCTCGGAAATAATTTTTACGGGAAATTAACAAACGAACAGAGAGTAACACAACTCATGCCGCCTAATGCAACAACCCAAATTAAAAATCACCCAGTATTTAATACGGCTCCTTTAAGATACTGGTCTAACTAGGAGTAAGGGAGGTGAGATAAGACGGCCACCCCTGTATATCATCAGTTATGATGTGTCCGTTTATAGCGAACTACATGTAAATATTAACTGCTTAACACTTGGTAAAAACACACTGGCAGACAGCTGTGAACGTGATTGGCCAAAGCAGGACTTAATGTTTGTTTTTGAACAACTTTGAATTTTTTATGGTTACAAACTACACATTTCAGGGAATTTCATTTTGTTGGTTTCAAACAATGAGGAATTACATAAAGTCGAATATGTCGTAAAAGAAACACAGTTCCAGTACATTGATTTTTTTATAACAAGCGATTGCTTTACATGAGTAGCCATTTTACCCGACGACATTGTTTCACACAAGTACCCACGTTCTTTCACGTCATTACTCTAGATGATAGGCAAATTGTGTTTGACCTTCATACACATTGGAAGTATTTAAATGATGATTTAAGTAATTTAAATGTAATTGCTAAATGTATCATTTATTTTACATTGGTTTTGTTATGAAATATATGTGGACCATTTTACACGATTTTGGGGGAGGGGTTATCCAACTACATGAAGTGCATTTTCTCAATATCTAAAAAAAAGTTTTGTTTTCCAATCTTTGTCTCAACTAGAAATGGCATAAACAATAAAATAAGGTTCGTTTTGAAACATTTTGCTTTTTCATAACATTCATCTTAATTGGTGAAAACCGCATTCAAAGTTAGGGTGGCCGTCTTATCCCACCTTCCCCTAAGCAATGTCAAAAACTTAAAACTGATTAGAATGGTTTAACTCATCAGTTGGATATCCTTGCTGTTAGCAATGTGTAAGGCCGTAGTCCCAAGAAGATGCAATACTGATCGCTTACACTAAAACAAAAATACTTCTTTAAAACGTCTGGAAAAGACTAGAATTGCCAGGAATAGTCAAGCTCCTTCTAGAAACTCATGACGTGTTACTAGAATCACGTGACTTCCGCTGTCGTAACACTTGTATCACCTGTAAGTATGCGTTAGTAACGTTGCATGCGATGTGATATGACATGTATGTATGTTTCTAACACGGCATTAGGCTTACTGAGAGTTGAGTTTGTAACGCTGTATTAGACGAATTGCATTCGGCGTGTTATGAGATGTGTTTTTAACGTTTCATTAGGCATGATATTAGATGTTTTAAACGCTACATTAGGCGTGATACAAGTTGTTTTTCTAACGCTATATTCGGCGTGGTATTATTTATGTTTATGACGCTGTATTTAGGCACAATTAATGCTGCATTAAGCAGCGAATGAATTATTTTTGCGGTGCTTCATTACGCATAGTTTAATTTGTGTTTACAGCGCCACGTTGGTTTAAATTATGTTTATAACGCTACATTTAGCGTTACCTGAGTGTCTGTGTGTGTGACGCTGCGTTAAGCAGAACTAATTAGTGCTGTCATTATTTCAGAAAAGGAGGGGGAAGAAGAACAATCCCACGTGACTCGGTACAAACCCGAAAGACTAGATGCGCTTTGCAAGGCGACTAACTTCACCAGGAAAGAAATACGCCTAATGTATCAAGGATTTAAACAGGTTGGCTTTGTTACCATTTTAAATTTCTCGTTATATCTATGTTGAAACACCGTTTATATAAGCTGAAAACTCCAATATATAAAATAGAAACATTTAAATTTTAGATATTTATTTTCCTATTTATCTTTCAGTTGTTGCCAAGTGGTGTGTTGTCTGTCAGTCAGTAGACACTAACATGACGTCACATAAGAGACGCTTAACTTTGCAATTTGTACTGTCATGACGTCAGTAAAACGTGCGCATGCCATGAATTACGGAAAGAATTATGCACTCTGTAAGATACAACTGCATGACATACGACCTTCAAAAGCAAGAAATAAAACTGTTTGTTACTCTTAATTTTGGTTTTATTTACTCTTGAAACAGAACACTTTCGGGAACCCTCTTGTTTTGTATTAGTGCACTTTTACGACAACAGTAGAGACACAAAAAAACTGCAAATTAATTGAAAATAAATAATTCTATAAATTATTACAAAACTTGCTTAGTTGTACTTAATTCTAACGTTCTATAAAAGTTCAACTACCAGAAATATTGTTAAGCTTTCTCTAAATTGTGAATATACGAATTAAAAATAAGAAAGAGACGAAGTAATTGTCTTTTTTTACGACGTGTGGTATTAATTAATTAATTAATTAGGTTGAGATGAAATATAATTCATATAATGTGTGGTATTAATTAATTAATTAATTAGGTTGAGATGAAATATAATTCATATAATGTGTGGTACTAATTAATTAATTAATTAGGTTGAGATGAAATATAATTCATATAATGTGTGGTACTAATCAATTAGGTTGAGATTAAATATAATTCATATAACGTGTAGTACTAATCAATTAAGTCGAATTGAAATACAATTCATCTAACGTATGGTACTAATTAATTAGGTTGAGATTAAATATAATTCATATAACGTGTGGTATTAATTAATTAGGTTGCGATAAAATATAATTCATCTAACGTGTGTAAATAATTAATTAGGTCGAGTTGAAATATAATCATCTAACGTGTGGTACTAATCAGTTAAGTCGCGTTGAAATACAATTCATCTAACGTGTGGTACTAATTAATTAGGTCGAGATGAAATATAATTCATCTAACGCGTGGTACTAATTAATTAAATCGAAATGAAATGTAATTCATCTAACGTGTGGTACTAATCAGTTAAGTCGCGTTGAAATACAATTCATCTAACGTGTGGTACTAATTAATTAAATCGAAATGAAATGTAATTCATCTAACGTGTGGTACTAATTAATTAGGTCGAGCTGAAATATAATTCATCTAACGTGTGGTACTAATCAGTTAAGTCGCGTTGAAATACAATTCATCTAACGTGTGGTACTAATTAATTAAATCGAAATGAAATGTAATTCATCTAACGTGTGGTACTAATTAATTAAATCGAAATGAAATACAATTCATCCAACGAGTTGTACTAATCAATTAGGTCGAGATTAAATATAATTCATCTAACGTGTGTAAATAATTAATTTGGTCAAGTTGAAATACAATTCATCCAACGTGTGTAAATAATTAATTTGGTCAAAATGAAATACAATTCATCTAACGTGTGTCATTAATCAATTTCGTCTTTTCAGGAGTGCCCTACGGGAATGGTCAGCGAAGACGCCTTCAAAGATATATTTTCCCAGTTTTTTCCCCAAGGAGGTAAGTTAACTCTCACATAAAGAAATTGATACTACTATTTTTTTTATAAAAGACAAATTTTTTGAATTATCGAAGTAACTAGATGAAGGAATACAAGTGATCTCATCAAATGGTATTGTACATCCAGTATTCAACTGTTACAACACATTCAGTCTTCAACCGTTACTACACATTCAGTCTTCAGCTGTTACTACACATTCAGTCTTTAACCGTTACTACACATTCAGTCTTCAATCGTTACTTCACATCCAGTATTCAACGTTACTACACACTCAGTCTTCACATTCAGTCTTCAACCGTTAATACCCATCCAGTCTTCAACTCTTACAACATCTTCAGTCTTCAGCCGTTACTACACCTTCAGTCTTCAACCGTTACTACACATTCAGTCTTCAGCTGTTACAACACATTCAGTCTTTAACCGTTACTACACATTCAGTCTTCAATCTTCACTACACATCCAGTATTCAACTGTTACAACACATTCAGTCTTCAGCCGTTACTACACATTGTCTTCAATCGTTACAACACATCCAGTATTCAACTTTACTACACACTCTGTCTTCACATTCAGTCTTCAACCGTTACTACCCATCCAGTCTTCAACTCTTAAAACACCTTCAGTCTTCAGCCGTTACTACACCTTCAGTCTTCAACTGTTACAACACATTCAGTCTTCAGTCGTTACTACACCTTCAGTCTTCAGCTGTTACTACACATTGTCTTCAATCGTTAGTACACATCCAGTATTCAACGTTACTACCCATCCAGTCTTCAGCCGTTACTACACATTCAGTCTTGAGGAAAGTACTGTGAATCCTAGAGTACGTGGTTTACGTGCTATTCCCCTTAAAACGTACTTTGCACTCTTGGGCTACGGATGAGATAGAAGAGCAACAGTCAAGTCCCACTCTTCTGTCAGACAAGAGCTGGCGGTGGTACTGTTCGAACATTGGGGGGTCTCTGATGAAATAGTCTTTTTTTCCTTAAGGTGACGTTCAGGTTCCAAATTTAAACTCTACTTCCTATCAACATTATACACAAAAATACGCAATATTTGGGACTAGCTACGGAGAGCTTCATTAGACCGGTGAATCCGGTTCATACACTTTAGCGACCCCTGGGGACCATTATGATGTAAACTGTTTATTATTATTATTTTACACTGCACACATTGCATTAGAGTTCCATCAACAACGTGTATACCTTAAAAAATGTAGTTAGGCCTAAAGAATTGGCATGACATATATATTTTCAAATTCTGTAGTTTACATCTTGGCCATGAGACCACCATCTGCGTGTTTGTTTATTTTGAGTTAGTGTTTGATGTTACTGAATCATTGTTTGTAAGTTGTTTGGAATTTCTATGTTAACAGAGACAAATGTCGTCCTTTTCGTTGGGGTAGAACACCCCATACGTGATTTGTATAAAAGAAGGGAAGTTTGTTTTTTATTTTGTCTTTGGAGAGCCATCTAGTTGAATCCTCTTAGCCTCTGCCAGAAAACTAAGATTATTTATCTGCGTGATTATTTTTACTTCTTTCGTTTCGTGGGCAGGCGTGTCTTTAACCGAGTTGTTTTTGTTCAGCCAGTGTTGTGTTCGTCATATGATTTTGTTTTCTGCTTTTGTATCGTGATCAATCTCTCCCAATTCAGAGTCGAAAATTCAGTTTTCATTCCAATTAATACTATCTATCATTCCTCGACAGTTATTATTCTTTCTTGTAAGGTAATCAGTGAACTCGAGAATACCACAAGGCTACCATACGAACCTTTTTAAAGAGGTGACGTGGTAGCTTACTTGTTGTAATTTTCAATTAAACAGGCTTTCCTTAACACAAGTCTTTAATTATCCGAGTCATAAAACGTAATATAAATTGAGGAGTTGGCTATGAATGATGTTTATCGAACTATACTTTCCTCTTTAACTAACTGTTCTTTGCAGATGAGTCTAATTGAGTCATATATTAGCGGGATTTTAATGTCAGTACTATAGTATAATGAGGCCATTATTTATCATCAAAATCCTGGATCTATGCTTCAAATATATATTCGAGTTATAAAAGTAATTAAGTTAGCGTGGACTACACTTTGTAACTTAAACATATCTTGTTGTTTAACTGGATTATGTCATAGGTGGCGTATATGTTTTTTGTTTCTTGTTAAGCCCAAAGGTGCGGGTATTGGAACACAAATTTTAGTGTTATGGGCTCTCAGACTTACCGCTGAGCCACTGGGGACGTGGCGTGCATAATGACGTCTAAACTTTCACGGCGGATATACATCCTTCGTCGTTATAGCTTGTGACACTTTAAATTAACAGATTATTTAAAGTTTATTGATTTAACTTTTTTTTTCTGATCCTCACAATTAATTATTTCTCTCCAGCGCCATCTGCATCCAGTTCCGACGTTTGTGCATTTTGCTTAACGTATTTTCGAAAATAACAAAAAAGTAGTTGTAATTACTGATTAAAATAACGTTTTTTTCTTCTTTTTTATAAGTGCGGCATTAGCATTAATAATGTTTTATGGAACTTCTTTAGATATTCTCAAATCTATAACTAGGTGAAACTGTTAATGAAGTTACTCGATATGATCAAGATTAAGAAATATTTATTTTTACTTTTGTGATTTCAACTGACTTGAGATCGTTATCCGTCTTACTTTCACCCCTCTATTTCAACTTCTCCTACAATCACGTTCAAATCTCCTGAATATCAATGTTTCACATTTTATTTAATTATCTTGTCGTTGAAAGACAACATTCCCCCTTCCTATGATATTTCACATTCTATCTAAATTAGCGTCTTCTTCATAGTCATCTGTCGTCTTGTGTAATAATCTTACTATAAAGGACGAGGCCCGGCATGGCCAGGTGGTTAGGGCCCCGGCGTGGCCAGGTGGTTAG